ATCGGTATTTAATGTAGATGTGGCCTGTGGATGATGTGGACTCTATTGTACTTCTTCTTCCCAACTTAGCCATTCATGGTGACTGACAAGTCATGATAATTTTTTATAAAACAAATAGTAATTCGCAATGGACGATTCGTTTTTCGGATTTGATACAACTACAAGTATACCGGTAAGAATTTAAATAAGAACAATGTACAATGAAGTACCTAGAAAACAGATGTAGAGCGCAGGTTCTTTTTTTTTATAAACGCAATCGTCTGGAAAATGAAAAAAAAAAAAAAAAAAAAAAAAAACAATCATTTGCCACCATGCTTTTTTTTCCCTAAATAAATCAAAATGTGCTAAAAATGAATATATTAATTATATTATAATAGGATGATGATGGCAGCGACGGGCGAATCGCTGAGCCCCCGGAAGAAGAGTACGACGCCCTCAATGACGAGACATTCGGCTCTGCCATAAACGGCGACTGGGAGGAAGCCCACGAAACGCTTGTCCTACTTGGCGGTAACGGCGAAAAAGCTCGCAAAGACTTCACAGATCATGACTCTAGTGGTAACGGTGCTTTGCTTAATCGGAGAGAGCAACTGCCGTTGCGTGGTTTTCAGAGCAGCAGCATCGACGACTTAGACTTGGAATTAAATTTATCATCAATAAAATTAGATGATGTAGATTTAAGTACGTTTGGTGAAAGCGATGGAAGCAATCGCATTAACTTGGACTCTGGCGTTTGGACTACCCAACCTCCCTTCCCCTTGCCCAGCAATCAAAATATTTTTCGAGACAACTTTCGCAGCGCATTTAAGCCCCAGCCACAGGCTGCCGCATCCGCAACCGTAATGGCAATCACGCAAATAAAGCCACAGCAGGAGTCGAACGCCAATTTTGGGATACCGCCGATGCCAACAGCGGCGACAGCAAAAATCACAACACTCGAAGATATTGAACGTAATCTGATCATACAACAGGCAGTGCCCAAACAACAGCAGCAACAACAACAACAGCAGCAACTACATCAGCAACAACCACAGCCTCTACCCCAACAGGATTTGAATTTAACCAATCGGCAGCATTTGGTGTCAACGCCAACATTAGCTCAACACCAACAACAGCTACAAAAGCAACAGCCGCAGCACAAGGGTAACTCACATTTCAGATTCATTCACGTCATGCAAGCACATATTGTTTAGATAAAGACAAAAAATGCAATTACAGAATAATACAAATATGTGAATATATATATATACATATATACACATATTTTATAAATATCATAATGTACTGTCGA